CGAATGGCATTGGGATGAAGCTGGTCAATGGTGACGTTAAAGTGATTTAACACCTCCACTATCAAGGGGTGCAGAGGGAGACGCAAGCCAGCCTCGAGTTGTCCCTGGAAGATTACTATGTCATTGGGACCATGCTCCCAAGGGAAGTTGCCAGTAGGGAGGCTGTAAACCAGGTCCCCAGGGAGGCAAAAGTAGCGGATCAGAGACCTGAGTCTCTCCGCTGTCATCAAGGAAGGACCAAAGGTGTCAGGCTCCCTCCCCCTAGAAGTAGATGCTACGTCACCGGAGGCCTCCCGGGCCTCCGGGATCTGCTCCCAGGCTCCCCCCCGAGCTCGAGGGAGCATCATCGTCCTGGCTATCACCCATGTGGTAGGTGTGGTATGGATACCCAGACATGGCTGATAGCGATTGAGACTCACCAGAAAAGACGGAACGAGGCAAACTGAGGAATTCAGGTAGACTAGATGAAGTGCGCGACCTCAGAATCCGAAGACAGCAAGACGGTGTGGGAGAAAGTGAGGCCCAAGAGCCCCCCCCCCCTATTTATAGTCTCCACCCTTCCAAGTTGATGGTCTGGATCAAAGAAAATCCAACGGCCTGCGGGCGCCCTGACCGCACGCCTTCTGAAAACCAAAGGTGATTGGCGGCACGTCTTCCGTAATTAAGGTAATCGCGGCTGCACGACGTTCGGAGTTAAAAGCCACCTCAGCACGTTTTCAGAATCCGAAAAGTCAGGAAAGTCGGAAAATCTCTTGATTCCCGTAGATACATTTAATGTGGGCAGTCAATCAAGTTTGAATTTCGGTCAAATCAGTCCATCGCACTTCATAAACTCCCCGCGTTAAGGCAGTGCTCTTAGCCCGAGGAGTGGGGGGCAATTGATGGAGGATGATTTGACCCAACCTATGAAATGGAGACACATGGACACTGACTCAGCACGAGCGACAGCTCAACGTTGTAGCCTGGTACGACCAAGTGACGGGCCTACGAAGCAGCTCGCTACATTGTAGCTCACGAAAGGAGGAGTTCGCCGCGACGCGAACCCCGGGCTCCCCGTGCTACCTTTGAAGAGATACTCCGAGGCAATTTTAGCTTGCGAGCTAAAGTCATTAGCTCGTCCGAGCTCCCAAGCAGACAAGCCATCCCCAGGACCGATTCTACTAAGGGTAACTCTGGAGTGTTCCAAGTTCGCTACAGAATAGCTCGCGAATGAACCGCACGTGCACTCCCCAGGAAGCTTCCGACTGACAGACCGTACCGGTCAGACTGCGCCATGTCCCTTACTGAGGGCGTAGTCCCAGTCCTTTCGGTAGTCTGCGTCCACGTCTCACAGCAGGCAAGGGCGTGCCTGTCACTTCGAAAACGTGTCACTCACCCGGGCGAGACGTACACCCCAACGGCCACCTACGCAGCCCTGGCAAGTAACGGCTACAGCAGAAGCCCAGTGGCGGTTATGCCCAATCTAACGTGAGTGTCCCTATAAAAGCCCTCAGGGCAGAAGAGGAACGTCTTCTTGAAACCTCTAATCTCTTGAATATTGTGAGAACGCGCTATCTGCACTCTTAGCCTCCGTCTCCTTTTGCTTCTCCTCCAGAATACTAACTTAAGCATCGGAGTATCCCCATCAGGTAAACCCCCCGGGGATTCTTCTTCTTTCTCACCTCAAGTACCTTCTAGGAGCCACGTGAGCGCCAGCCAGGAGTGATCAGATCGCTCTACATCAGAAACCAAAACTGTCGACAGTTGATTTCAACCGTTGAAATTTGTTTTGCAAAATATATTTATATAGATATATATATATTATGGTTTCAAAATGTTTGCAAAAGGTTTTAATTCCCATGATCCATGTGAGTAGAGAGTGCAGCACTGTACTTTGCAGCCAAGGGAGAGGTCTTCTTTTGTCAGGCAGTGTTTGATCATTATGGGCTGAAAGGTTAAGTGTAAGACCATTGAGGGTAATACCTGATGGGCTAATCTTGCATTTGCCATAGTCCTTGGGTTTTTATAAGGTGGCTTGACCCAATGACCATTTAGTGTAAATGTTGGGCCCATTAAGAGCCTGTGGTGATGGACTCAGGGGTTCACTGTCTCCTACAGTGTATTCGGCCAGGCCTTGTAACAAAGGTTGGGCTGAACCCATGTGGTTGATGTGTAGATCAATGTTTGGGTCCCACGCCATACAAGGATAACCAACTGGGCAGCAATTAGGAGGCTAAGTGAGCAGATGGACTTAATGGGCCTAAAGCCCAATTCGAACTGGCTTAATGAGATTAATTAAAAGGGGGCGGTTCTGGGATTTAGATCAGCAGATAGGATAAGGGATTATCCCTATCCACTCAGAGAGTCCAGATCCAAATAAAGATTTGGATCAGAAAACTTCTAGTTAGATTAGAAGGGTTGATCTTCATTTGCAGATAAGATAAGGGATTATCCTTATCTCTTAAAAATAGTCCAAATCCAAATACAAGATTCGGATTAGGAAACTCCTAATGGGATTAGGAGAACCTCTCTTTAAGGTTATAAATAGGAGAATAGGGCAAACCCTCAGGGAACATCAGAAATCATCTGACTGACTCCTGAATTCCAGAGAGAGACAACACAGTTTGACTGCACTGTCTCCTCTCCTGCTCTTGCCGCCATACCAATTCGATCTCCACCTGTGGGAGCGATCAAGAAGGGTTCTTGATATTACCTTTTGGCAGAAAAGGTAATCTGAAGTCGTGCTCACTAGCCCTCCATCAGATTCTTGCTGAAGAATTCGGTTCTTGCTGAAGAACCATCCTGTTGATTCTGCTTCATCCTGCACCGTGTCATCTTCGGTGGAAGCAATCTTTGGATTTTTCGTTGGGCATGAACACCTTCATTGGAGGTTATTATTACTTCGTATCAGGTATAACCCTCTACTCCCTTTTGGTTTTAGATCTGGTCCGGTTTGGGTTCAAGATTGATCTTTGAAAATGTAGTTTTCTAAAATAGGGAATGCGATTCCCACATGGGAGAGAGAGAAACTTTTTGAAATTTCGCCCAACCTTCCTGCAAGGTTCGGCCATCCATATGATGGATCTCTCATCCCTTCAGTTTCATCTTCTTTTCCCCCTTATTAAATGAATTGAGTTTTTAAATCAATGCCTATCTCTTGCTCCACACACAACCTTCTTTCACCAATGACTCGAGGGATTATTTCACCTTCTTCGTCTTCTATTCCACCGAAAACCCGTCCAGGTAACACTAAATCTACTTTACTATCTACCATTTCCAAATTTTTTTCCATCTTTCTATTGTTTCCCCCTTCATCAATTGGTTTTTCCACCTTTGTTCAGGTTTGGCGTGCTTGACATAATAACCTATTGAATTGACTATCTAAACATTGTTTATGTTTCTGTAGAGCATAAATCTATTCCTGGAGAATAAATTGCCAAACGCCTCAGTTATTTAAATAAGAAGGAACAATGCTAAATGGGATCTAATGTTCTAGATATTTAGAATATCAGGACCCCCCCCATTGAGTGGACCCCATATAGGGCAGTTGCAGCACTACACTAAACGAACATGCTCAAACGACTCTCATTCATTTTGGCAAACAAAGAAAAAATATATTGTTTTAAAAGTATTAAAAAGAAAACACACAATCAAATGTAAATTGGACTTAGCATTTTATTCTAGTTTGTTCGACTATTATTGTTTCATAAACAATGATCTCCAGTGTTGTGCTTATATTGAATGGTAGTACCAAAGGAGCCCCACTCATGAATAGGGGCTATTCTGAGACACCTCAAAACTCCATGTGGTGCTAATAGTAACAAAGAGGAGCCATGAACCACCTTAGGGTTGTATTTCTGTTGCTTTTCAGTTTTCCTGCCTTGGTTCTTCTCTCGCCACTATAGTAGGAAGGTTTCACGTATATTTTTTCATCTCGACAAAATGATTTTGATTGGGAGGGGAGGGATGATCAGGAGCCCTATTCAATAGTTTTATAGGGAATAAAATAGATGAGACATATGTATGACAGAGGACAAGGAGATATCAAAATCGTGCTTCACAGACAAAATATCAAATGATCACCTAGGTTCAAAAACATGGGTCATTAAAATCAACTATGATTATAAATATTAAAAAAAAAAAAAAAAAAAAACTCATTGGGGAAAAGATAGCTTTTTTTTATCAATAACAGTTTCAATAGCTTTAGAACCACATAGATGATGATCAAAGTCGCGCTTTCGATCATCTTACACTTAGCCGGTTTTTGAGCTACGAAGAGCTAAAATGTCTATCTATCGCTTCATGTCTTAATAGTTTTACTTTCGAATTCGAAGAAAAAGGCAAATGGGAGCAAATAAACACCGAGGATGCAATAACCAGGTATTCAGGGCTTGCAATGTTGCTGGATGTAGTTGATTGATTAGATAATTACAAAATTCACAGTAAAGGTAGCGAGATAGACGAAAGTACCCGGAAGCCCTGGGAACCAAAACCCGAGATTGATCCGCATAAATGGTAGACTCGCCGAAAGAAGCTCTGTTGGAGGTGGTGGAGATGGGCTCCTTCGAGAAAGCACGAAGTCCTTGCTTTAATCCTTCCATCGAGTGAGCATAAACCCAACCAAAAACTGATAAGCAAGATGAGACCCAACAGTCTACACTTTCAAGACCATTGTTGATACTTGATTGTTCTCAAAAGTATGAATGGAATCGATGGGGTTTAGGGTTTGTTTATGTAAGGGGTTTGAAAACGATACTGATGGGTCGTTTGAGAGATGCGTTTCGCAACCGTTCCGTTTTTATTAATTATTATTACCAAGTCAGAATTTGAACAGGAACCGTCAAAAAATAGTTGATAAATGGTCGATTTTGTCTTAAGATTCGATAAAGTAGGCGATTCAGGAAACAGTTTTTTGACATTTCTTGAACTCCCATATTGCTTCGAAAAAAAACGCCACATTCGATGTGGCTCCAAGTCTCCAACCCATTATTCACTTTTCGGTAAGTTATTTATATGGGTAAATGCTACCTGGGTAAGTTTTTCTTGGAAAACACTTGCCCAGGTAAGTGTATTTACCTATGTTCTTTTGTTTTCAAAATAAAAAAGGAAATGATCATTTTAGCCACAAAAATCAATTATTAAAGGGGCATTTTTGTCCCATTCAAGTGTTGAAATCTTTCCCCCAGGTGGAAAAGTTATTTACCCACCTAAAAGATGGGGGTAGGTGATAGCCAGAAAAATAAATTTTTCTTGGTCGCCACATTAATCTGGAAAAAGAAGATGGGATTCTAGGTCAATGGGAACCAAAATCCCATTGACAAACTTTTCCCCCTCTCAAAATCCAAAAAAAAGAATGCCCCTTGAATGGCAAATGGAGTCGAGTTCGATGCGGGAACCATATTCCCCATCTCCAACCTCGGTTTTTAAACAAATATCTAGGGGTGAGCATTATTCAATTAAAATCAAAATACCGAACCAAAAACTTCAGTTTTTGGCTAATTCAGTTTTTAGATTTAGAATTTTGGTTAACCAAAAAAACCCGAATTAACTAAAGTTCATTATATAATATGTAATATATAATATACAATATATAACATTTAATATATAATATGTTATATATTTACATATTAATATATTATATATAATGGATTATAATGAAATTAAATTTCATAGTATATATACATTATAGTTATAATATATAATATTATATATATTAATTAAATTTGGTTTTTAACCAGAATAACCGATAATTTCGGTTCGATTATTTCAATTTTATTGTAATTCGGTTTCGGTTCGGTTTTCATTTTTTATTTCAGTTTTAAAATTTTCGATTTATTCAACTCGGCTTTTAATTGAATAAATCGAATGCTCACCCCTACAAATGTCAGTCCTCAACCTTGATTTCCACCTAAGAAAAAAATGGCCCTCCTGATCCCGATGGAGACTGGGGAACTTGCAACCCCAAATTTTTTAAATTACAACTATTTTTTAAATTATATTTATTTAAAATAATGAATTTTAAATATAATTTAATATAAATAATATTATATTTGTATATCTATCTATATATATGGCAGTATGGTCCATGCCACCTTGCTTCTTCTTGCTCCATTACCCCAACCCTGCATTCTCTTTCACTCTCTCTCATTTCCTCCTTCCCACCACTCCTAATTTGCCATTTCAACATCATCTCCCATCCCATTGGGTTCTCTCTCTCCCCCCACAATTCACGTCTCTCACTTTCTATAACAACCTAACTTCTCTCCTTCACTTATATCTCTAATTTCCCTCTATTCTCTCAATTTCCCCACAAAAATAAGGCCATAATTTATTAAGATTTGGTTTTCAAAACAAACAATATTTATATCTATAGACGTTATTTCAAGCAAAGAGAGGGGAATAAAGGTGATTCGATGTTTCCTATATATTCATGGCACCTTTCATTATTGTTAAATAATACCCAATTGTTAAATAATCCATTAGTTATGAAAATTATTAAAAAAATTGAAAATATTCTACCAAAATTTTTGAAATAATTATTTTAGAAATAATTCATTATTTAAAAATTATTTAACAATTTAATAATCCACCAAAAATTAATAAGCAACTCATTATTTAATAAATTTTTGTTATTAATAAATGTTCAAAATTTTAGTGTTTAACATAATTTACATTAATCATTGTAATTTAATCAATTTTAATTAAATATTTGCAATAATAATTCATTGATAAAAGATATTACTAATTAGCATAATTTACTAATTTCTATAAAATCAACAATTATCAAATAATTTAGGAAAACTCTTTAACAAATAATCCATAATTATTTTTTAAATAAGTAATTAAAAAATTAAGAAATTAATCTATGAAAAAATTCTCCATAACTATTTAAATAATAATCTATTATTATTATTATTCAACTAAATAATTATAAAATTTTAAGAAAAATAAATTAGTAAATTAATATATCAAAAAATTGGTTCTTAATTATTTAAATAACAATCCATTATTATTGTTTCAATAAATAATTTAGAAAAATTATTAAGTCTATCCACACCGATCTATACCACTTGGTTGGCTTCGATCATACTTGGTTTTACATTAATTAACAACAAATGGTTTACTTTTAATTAAAAATAATGTAATATAACATAATTATATTTACTTTGATTAATAGTAAATAATTCAGGCTTAAAAAGTAAATAGTCTGCATTAATTTATTGTTATTGTAAATAATTAATTTACTATAATTTCATTTATAAAATATCCCCAAATTGTCACAATCCAATTCCTAAAATACCCCCAAATTCCCATAATCCTATTTGTAAAATATCCACAAATTACATTTTTTCAGGTGGTTGCCTCAAGGTGGGGGAATTTTGGGATTCCCCATCCCCGACAAGGAATGGGTACCTCACCCCTAAGGGTGTAAACAGATTGAATTCGAATTAGATCAAGAAATATCCAAGTTCGAATTTTGATTAGAAAAATCGATTTGATATCTGATGGATATTGAAAATTAATATTCAAATTTGAATCCGATTAAATATTTGAATATTCAATTCTATTCAAATTCAACTAATTATTTATTTTAGGTAATTAATAAATATAAATAAATATTTTATTTATATAATTTAATTAATATATATATATAAATTATATAAGACATTTAAATATTTTATTTATTATATATAAGAATTAAATAATCGATCAAATTCATATATTTATTGAATCAAATCGGGTCATATCCAAATTCGAATTTGATTAGCTATTTGGTATGAATAGGATATCCAAAATTGATTGATTATATATTCAAATTTATCTGAATTTGATTTGATCATGTCAACTCTCGAATTCGAAATCGAAATCGAATTTTCAAATACCGTTGACACCTCTACTTGGCCCGAATCCGTCCTACCACCGAGATCAGGGTGGGGATGTAGTAGAGTGTCTTGACTCACATGGGCCCCTACTATTATAATCGGGGGGCCAGGGTAAGGTGGAGAATTCACTCCCCATCCTAGTACCCATCCCTAATTAGGTATTACAAGCAATCCCCCCCNCCCCCCCCCCCGCCCCTTGAAAAATTGCCATTCCTATCCAAGTTTGGTGTAACCACGCCACATCAGATGAATTATTCAGTTTATTACAACCCTTTAAGAGGTGTAAATGTATGTGGTATAAACGTAAATGGTAGGCATATGAGTGATATAATTAGAAAGGATAGGGTTGGAAATGAAACCAAGAGTGGAACTTGAGCATGACTTCAATATTAAGTGATAAAATGAAAGAAATTTGAGTGGGATGGATTGTCCATGAAAAACCATCTACATCACCTATTAGAAAAATAATAATAATAATCATTGCAATCTAAGGGGAGTAGAATAACTAGGGACAAACAAAATTGCTTACCAAAAAAGCTTTGGGTGAAAAATAATAAGAAAAGTGCCCATAAATTGACAATAGATATGGCATTAAGGGAAGCATAATGGGGAAATTGGATTCATGTAGACAACCCCACATTCCGTTTGGTTTGCAATCTAAATTGGAATGGTTTATTCCTATAGTTTGTTTGGTTTAGACAATAATAAGAATGGAAATTGGAATCAGCATAAATGAGATTTCATTCCTAAAGGAAGGGAGGGAATGGTCATTCCCTTAAATGGGAAAATGCCATTCCACTAGGAATAGGAATGAGATTCCAATTCTGTCAACCAAACAGTTGGAATCGGGGCCTTAGATGATGATAAACCCATGTTGGTTAGGGCTGTCAATGGTACCCCAAAATTTGAGACCTGATCCAATTTATCTCGGATTTGAATTATGTATATAAGTAATCAGATTGGATTCTGATGTTACAATCTACATCGGATTCAAATTTGATCCCATCAATCTGATTATAATATAACATTTATTAATTTTAACATATAAGTTTTATAAAATTATATTTAAAGTTATAAAAATATATTGTATATATTATATTATATATGAATTTATGTATATAGTAATTTTAGTGTGTTATATTTATATTAATTTATTATATAAAAGTTAAAAAATAAATAAATTTTCAATATTTCTGATATTTTAAAAAATTTACAACTAAATCGGATCAAATCTGAATCTAACTCTTTAAATCCAATCAGATTCGGATGTAGGAGACCAATAATCGGATCGGATGCGGATTTTGCTGCATCCGATCCGAGTCCAATCCGACTAAGCCCTAATGTTGGTAAATACCTCTTTATCATTATTATTCTATACTGAAAACTTTCCCTGTTCTCTCCGTATTTGCAAATTTGACCATTAGACTGTATTCTCTAGTGACAAGCAGATGACATTTAACTCCCGTAACACTTCCACCAATGTCTATTTCTCGGCTCCTATGGCCCTGTTTGACAATGACCCACCTGTTCATGTTCTTTTTGAAAATCTTGTACTAGAACAAGAATTTTGTTTTTTGTTCCTTGAAAGCAAAGAAGGCATTTGGAAAAAATGTTTTTCAAGAACGCATTTTTGTTCAACAAAAACAGAAATGGTGTTTGGATAACTAATTCACAGGAAAAGAAACCCCACTCAATTGACATAATAGATAAATAGAAGCCCCATATTTCAACATATCCAACAAAGTAAGGGCCCGTTTAGCACGTTTTTTGGGAAGATCTTTCAGTAGCTATAATAGTCAAAAGACGCATTGAGTTTTTTTGTATGAAGATCTGAGCAGCCCGAAGCTAGTTTGGCACTATCATGTTTTTTCCGTGTGTAT